TCCACCAAAAAACAAAACAAAAAAAAAAAAAAAAAGGAAAAGAAAAAAATTTTGAAAAATGAACAATGGAGAAATAACTACTTTTTAAGTTTAAAAAGTAATTTTACACAGGAAGCACCGCCAGCCTTTTTCACAGTGGGAAACTTATTTCCATTGTAGCCACCGATTCTTCAAGAACTGATTTAAAGGTAGGTTTGACAATCTTAGTTAACAAAGATCTGCTTGAATATTTTGCCAAATAAATGTGGTTGCTAATTTGAACGTGAAAGATCTCTGCTATCAGATACCAAAGACGTGACCCTCAGTCGCTACCACAAGGGTTAAGAAACCATTCTGTGTAAGGTGGTCTCTCAGTTCCTCACCAAGCCCAACAGCAGAGCCGCTTCAGGGGCTCACAGCCTTTTCCAGGCCACTGCTGTATCTGCCAGCTTTTGTCATGAATGTTTCGCCTTGCATATCTAAAGCAGTAGAAGGAAAAGTATTAAAGCTTATTTGTTCCGGTCTAATAAAAGTTTAACCCAAACTGAGGAAGTGCTATGCTGGTATTTTTTGTGCTGTCTGGACATACTACTCGCCCATCTAAGGGAAAGTCTGTTTTTCACCTAAGCTTGATCAAAGTGTTGTATTTACAGCTCTGTACGAGATACCGAAAAACCGTCCCCTGCCAAACCGAACAGTCCTTAGCTGTCACTGGACGGAGGCAGTCCCACCCGAAACACTTTCTGCAGAAGTGAAGTGTAAGCAAGGCGAGAAATGACGCCTGCAGACAGCGTGGCTTGACTCTGCGTTCCGTGTTCTCATTTACGCGGCTGTTTAACAGACAGGAGCACTGACTGCGCGCGTGAGGAGGACTGGCTCGCATCAGCTGCCCAACCGAAACAGCTGCTTTTGTAGGAAGTGACAGAAAACTGTTTATCCCCGATCATTTTCCTTCTCTCGTCCAGAGAATTCACGCCAGTTCTGGAGGACTGCAGCAGCTGAACAGAGCAGACCGGCAGTGAGCAGCGGCGGTGTCAGCACGCCTCGCCCTGCTCCCTTCCCTGAAGCCAGGCAACAGCAGGTGCTTCACTCTCCAGAGGACTGGGTCACACCTCGCCCGCGTCACACAGCACCACAGCCACACGCTGAGCACTGCACAACTGCAGGGTTAGTGTCGTGGCTGATGTGAGGTGCAGCTGTATAGGACAAGTGACAAAATGATAGCCTTAATAAGCTTCATCATACGCACATCATCTTTCTATACAAAGACATACTCGGGAGTATTTTGACCCCACACGGTAACCAGTCCCTCTCTAACTGCTGCCACCAGGCGCACGCACTCCGGGGCCAGCCCATGCAGCAGCTGTCGGGAGCTTCTCGTGGCCGCTTCTCTGCGGTGCTTGGGAGCGCAGCGTGTGTCAGAGCAAGCGTTACCTGGCATTCCACATCCCCAGCCCAGAACGGAGGCTACACCAAAACCTAGAGGAACCATCAGCTTCGCCTAAAGTCAGCATCTGAATCTTCTCTGCAATTTGGCTGTGAAATTCAGCCTATGGTGAACTAGCACAAAGTAACACTAACTTTTGTTACTTAGTTTGACTTATTTTTACTTTGTTGCAAAACTTCAGCCTATGACCAGGGTTCTGACTGTGCTTATAATTCCTTATCTAGAACTACAGAAAATATGAAAATGACTAGAGCAAGTATGTGTCTGTTTAACGAGCTGTGGTTAGAGACACAGTGGAAGTCACCCAGGCTATTTTGTTTCTTAGACAGAATCAAGAGCTTATATAAACCGTGTTCTTAAATCAGAGAGCCACCTAGGTTGGAAAAGACCTTTATGATTATCGACTCCAGCTGAAAACCTAACTCTAAGTCCACCACTAAACCACTTCCCTAAGCACAACTACACGTCTTTTAAATCCCTCCAGGGATGGTGACTTGACCACCTCCCTGGGCAGCCTGTTCCAATGCCTGACCACTCCTTCAGTAAAGAAATTTTTCCTGATATCCAGTCCAGACCTCCCCTGGCACAACTTGAGGCCATTGCCTCTCATCCTATCACTAGTTACTCGGGAGAAGAGACCAACACCCACCTCACTACACTCTCCTTTCAGGTAGTTGTAGAGAGCAATGAGGTCTCCTCTCAGCCTCCTCCTCTCCAGACTAAACAGTCCCAGTTCCCTCAGCTGGTCCTCACAAGACTTGTTCTCCAGACCCTTCATCAGCCTCTTTGTCCTTCTCTGGACACGCTCCAGCCCCTCAATGTCTTTCTTGTAGTGAGGGGCCCAAAACTGACGCTCCTCCCCAAGCCTCTAGCATTGCATGGGGCTGTTGTGACCCAAGTGCAGGACCCGGCATTTGGCCTTGTTGAAACTTATATGATGGACCTCGGCCCATCAATCCAGCCTGTCCAGATCCCTTTGCAGAGCCTTCCTACCCTTGAGCAGATCGACACTCCCACCCAACTTGGCATCATCTGCAAATTTACTGAGGGAATACTCGATCCCCTCATCCAGATGATTGACGAAGATACTACACAGAACTGTCCCCAGTACTGAGCCCTGGGGAACACCACTTGTGACTCTGTTCACCACCTCTCTGGGTCCAGCCACGCAGCCGGTTTTCTACCCAGCAAAGAGTGCACCCACCCAAGCCACGAGCAGCCAGTTTCTCCAGGAGAACGGTGTGGAAAACTGTGTCAAAGGCTTCACTGAAGTCCAGGTAGATGACATCCACAGCTCCTCCCCTTGTCCACTAAGCGGGTCACTGTCATAGAAGGAGATCAGGTTGGTCAAGCAGAACCTGCCTTTCATAAGCCCATGCTGGCTGGGCCTGATCTCCTGGTTGTCCTGTATGTGCTGCACGATGGCACCCAGAATGATCTGCTCCATAACCTTCCCCAACACCAAGGCTGGGCTGACAGGCCTGCAGCTCCCCAGAAACCACATCCACTACAAAGCAGAGAGGAGGTTCCCATGCTTGGGGAGAACGCAAACCACAGAAGTTATAGAAAACTGATAACACAGAGGTCTCTGTCCGATTGATCTCAGTTAAAAAAACTAGTAATAGTAATACACAAATGAGGAAACGGCTACAAATTATCTTTCCCATTTCAGGATTGATAGTTTCAGAAATGGTCATTTAAGTCTACCAGTCCTTCACACATTACATACACGTACAAGTATGTCCAATACAGTAAGAATTACCAGCCACCTGTTCTTCAAATGGATGGCATCGCATCCACCAACATGAAGCACAAAATGCACCACAACACGCAACACCACTCTGTTGCCACTTGCAACTCTACATGGACTCCTGACAAATAGGATCATCAGGTTCTTAGGCCTCACTGTTGGAAGAAACAGCCTCCCAGCTAAGGACGAGACACCCCTTTCTGGCTTTGGCATCCAGGCAACAGGTCTGTTGACCTGCTCCCTAGCTGACCAACACAACTTCTCAACCCTTCACAATTACCGGCCACAAACACCACAACCTGGCAAGAAGTAGCCACCTCTCTCTCCCTTCCTACCACGGTAACTCCCTGAGGCCGAATGCCTCCCCCAGCCAGCCCTGCAGGTATTTCCTGTGCTTTTGCTCCCAGCTGCCTCACTATTTCTGCACACCACACTCAATTCTGGAAGAACAAAACCAAAACTAAAAACACCAACAGTTCTCCATGTTGAGACTTTGGTGCTTCCTTCGGTTTACAGAGAACAATCTTCTTAACATTTCCTAATTTGTCTGGATCACCAATAAATACCAGTAAAATCAGAGTTGGAAGGTTATTTAACTACAAGTGTTTCAGATCCTTTGCTTTCATCTTACTAAGAATTTTCAACTGCAATTTATGGATAGAACATAACCGATAAAAAGTATTACATAATAACCGGTAAGTTAGAACTTGTTTTATCACCAGTTCTCCTGGTACATTCTCTCAAGCTTTTAAAATAGTTGGATGTATGTTAGTGTTTCTTTTAATTACTTGTTAATAGTTCCTGGCACTGTCATTCAGAAATAGTTAGGAAAATTACATTTCACATGCTTACCCTCTCAAAATTGTGACAAACTTTTGGTGGCATTCCCTGACATCCCGGATGAAATTATTTTTGCTGTGAGGGCTGTGTAGTCCTATTCCTTTTGCTGTGCCAACATCGACATTCAACCAGCCACATTGCAAGTTATTTCAGAGGGCAAAACTTGCCAGAAATGTAAACAGAGTCAGTAGTGTTTCTCTCCTTATGCTGTCTCACCATGACTCCAGCCAAAGACGACACGACCCACTCTGCTCAGCCACCCCATGTAACTGGATGCTGATTCGCAGGGCATTAGGAGGTTCCCGAGAAGACAGATAAATGCAGACTGTATTATCCATTCAGCAATATCCAGCCTTGTTGAACCTATATTTCATGGTGACGTAAAATGCAGAACAGAAGACAGGAAACCATATCTCAGTGGAATTAACTTTTATTGAGGGGGGAAAAAAGGTTTACATGTAGTTATAGGTTTTTCCATCCACACTTTCAGAACTCCAAAAAGGACTGGAAACAAAACTTGCTTAATCATTATCGCAATACCAAAAAGATGTTGTTTTTTTTTGGTTTTTTGTTGGTTTTTTTTTTTAAATGAACAGCAAATTATATAACTAATTGCTATGTTCAATAAATATTTTTTCTCCTGCACCGATTAAGGGGAAATCTTCAACCAAGTACAATAAAAACTCCAGGATTTTTACAGTTTTAACTTAAAATGTTATCCACTGTATAGCAATCCAGAAACTTTACCTATAAAACACAGCTTTAATTTTGAGTGTACAAGGATCTACTTTCCCAGTCAGTCAAATACCAAATTTTGCTCTAGCTCAAATAGTCTACACTCAAAGCAACTACCTGACAAAAAAAAAAAAAAAAAAAAAAAAAAAAAAAAAAAAAAAAAAAAAAAAAAAAAAAAAAAAAAAAAAAAAAAAAAAAAAAAAAAAAAAAAAAAAAAAAAAAAAAAAAAAAAAAAAAAAAAAAAAAAAAAAAAGATCCTCTGGTTCATGACTATCTAAGTAAATTTGTCATTACAGAAAAGGCTCAAAGTCATTACTTGTTTATCAAAGTAATAGGTAAACATTTTAACAGAAAGATTAACGAGTTACTTGGAAATGCATGTTTATTTTAAAGTATCTGAGTGTGTATATTACATATGACATGCAAGTCTTACAAACATCAATGCTTTCTTCTGATTAGTCAGGAGTCCAATTGTTTTAAAAACAAAATAGGAATGACTTCCAAAATGTATCAGCACTTTGGGTTCTCCATTTCATTTTGCTTAAGAAGTTTTACTACACAAAAACTACAACAATTACAATATTTAAGAGTATTACAATAAGGAGGGATGGAAAACAGCAATACGTCAACTGAAAATATGTATATTCTAAATGAACCAAAGATTTGTAAAAGAGCTGGATGGAGGATGAGGAAGGGAGGACAGGAGGGAAAGCAGTAGGGAAGCTAAGATCTGAACTTTGTATTTAAAAATCATGTCCTCAACTGTAACTCCTCTGATCTTCAGTAGCGTCCTGGAAAAAAAAACAAACGACAACACCATTACTATAAACTAACCTTACACACCTCACCTCAGGTTCAATGTGCCCAGCTTTTTTGCTTTCACATGCAGAATTTCCAGCGATTGATTAATACTAGTAACAACAAGGTTTAACCAGACAAATTCTATTTATTTGCTCATATTTACTTACTTGGACTATAGGAACGGGATCTTGATCGTGATCGGTATCGACTATAGTAAGGCGATGGTGATCGTCTCCTTTAAAGGAAATTAAAAAAGAAACCCAACAACATCCATTATGAAAGAAGCCTTATTCACGTCACTTCTACAGAACAGAACCATTTCCTTAGTGCTGAAAGACTTGGCCTGCATGAATGATTTCAGCTTTATTTGGCTGTGGCTCACAGTTATTTAACAAATGCTTTTATATTTCTCTATTTGATGTGTTTAAAACTAAGATATTCCCAGACAAAGAATTTAATAACCTCTCACTAGCCTTGCAAACACATGAAGTGCTTTTCCAGATGCCTACAATTCTTGTTGAACAACATTCTCTGAAACTAGATAACTTTCAAAACAGTGAGATGGTTATGAAATGTCAAGCATTAAAAATCTCATCTACAAATAACCCCTTTTCAAACACCACTGTCTATCAGCTGTCCCTGGTTCTATATACAGCATGGAAAAATGAATTCCCCTTTCTATCTATCCACTAGATTTGCAGGACATGTGTGCTCTACCTCCTTCAACTAGCAAAATTAACCCCTTGCCCAGCTGTTTCCTGTATAACCAAATTACATAAACACTGAAGATTACAACTGCTTTAATCCCACAAAGCCTGAAGTAATGAGGCTCTAATACACAGTAAGTGTGTATGCAGAATCTTACTACAAACGGAATAATGGTTTTTGTCACCGAACTTCTTGGTTTGTTCAATAAATCCACTGTTCCTACAGAAATAAAATAAAAATTAGGTACCTGTATCTGTAGTCATATTCTTCATATCTGTCATATCCTCTGTCATACCCCCTATCATAATATGAGTCACGGCGACGACCTGCTCCACCACCACCACCTCCTCCACTGCTATTAGGGAAAAAGCAAAAAAAAAAAAAAATTACTTTAGCTATCTACTCTTCTTCTTGATTTACACTACTTAAAAGCTTTTTTTTAAGTGTTCTTGTAAATCAGACACTTGAGACTATGCCGTGAAATAACCTAACAATGAAACATTTAAACAAAAACACCTTCAAAAAACCCCAGAAAACCCACCCGGGATTTGAGCCCAATTCCCACCAAAATCAAAGGCAAATGGGTACCTTAGTAATTCAGTAAGCTAAGGCTGCATTAACTGACCATGCTGGGTATGTATTTTTTCAAAACAACTCCTTCAGCATTTTTTAATAAAGATACAATAAATGACAGTAGGATTTGATAGTATATAAGAACCACAGTAACGCGTTCTTTATATTAATAACTTTGTGATAAAATACAATGGGCATAACTCTAAAATTTTTTAAAGAAGTATCTACGGCTCTATTTCTTCAACCATTCAGTTTCAATCCATTTCAGCCCCATTGCAGGAAATCAGTGAACTCCTTACTGTGTTGGCCTGCCCATGTAGATGCCTGGAGTGGGTGTATGTGCTCTCTTGGTGATGGAGTAATCCACCCGAATCCTCCTGCCATCTAGCTCCATACCGTTTGCATGCTCCATTGCCTGCAGGAGAGACAAGAAACAGGGATGTGAATACCTACTGGTAACTATGGAAGGCTATGCACAAAACACATTATTTTCCATCAGAAGAACAACCCCTGAGCTTCTTTTGTTCAGACTGGTTACTAGTGCCCCACTGTGGCGAATGGCTCATCTCTGTCCCCTGGCCCGTTTGCCGGCAGTGTTACAGGACTGCACTGGGGTGCCGGAGTAATGTGACACGCAATCCCTTCTTAGGAGAGCACAGTGCTAACCACTAATATGGTCCCTTTCCCTAGACTTTGTCTTTTACACATCAGAAAGGTAAACAAAGTCAAAACAGCTTTTTCTGAAAACTGCATCTTTCCTACTGCCGTCTCTGACCCAGAGGGGACGGGCGGATTCAAAAGCTGTGCAAAACAGTGGCTTCCTGTAGGGTGCATATGGCCGGATTACTGCTCATCGGCTGCCATTTCATGCTCTCCCAGCCTCCTGCCATCTCCCTTACAAGGACCTACTCCAGCAGAGCTTAGTAAAATGGCGGGTTCAGCCTACATGGATACCTAATTACAACCTTCCTCCCCACTCACTCTCACAATAGCAGCTCGCTAAAGCAACACACATAAGGGTCTGCGCTCAAGAAGCCTGTGCCTTCAGACCCGCCTGCAGCTCACACACACTCTCACTGGGGGTTCTAGCCCCTGCTTCTCTAGGCTTTGAGAACCAACACAATGGCCTTTCACAAACTCAAAATCACGAAAATAGTTTTTCAAAGGAGCACAGTGTACTTTTGAATATTATATTCATGCAACTGTAACTTTTAAAAACAAACAAACAGAAATTCCAAGCAAACAAAACAAACCCACCCCTCCACCCCCCTAAAAAACCCACAAACCCACAACCTTAAGAATTTTAACAAGCAGTTAATGCTGGACTTAAAAGCTGTTAAAATTTGCAAAGCAAATTTTTTTTTTTTGATCCTTTTCACAGCTGCACTAGGATCTCTTAAATAACAGTACACACCACTTAGTTCCTGAAACCAAGCACAGCACTTTGCCCAATATACATTTTATTCATTTTTCAAGTGGAGAAGAGACACTGTTACAATGGAGTTAAACAACACAACCATTTTACTATTATTTAACTGTGAGGAACCATACACAACCTCAAAACATGAAGATGCCTCTAAGCAGACATATTATTTTTTAAAAGTTCTGAAACAAACAGCTATTCAGAAATGTAACTTTTTGCAGCTCTCCAAAAAGAACCTGATTAAATTAATATACAAGTTGCAGAGGAGGAAACAAAACCTCAACACCCACATGATTTAGCTGTGATGTCCCCAAACTGGAAGTGATTGAATTATCACTAACCTATTTAACTACACTTAGATTGTGTTTTAATAATGTTGTTTCTATCTATACTATATCGCCACCTAGTGAGTTCTGTTCCCATACAAAAATATAACAACTACATTTAGCTAACTGCAAGGCACAGCCAAAGAGCATTTCAAGTCTTTCAACATACACTGAACTAATTTTTGCAAATAAAACATGGTCATTAACCTTCATTTCCTAGCCTTGAGACTTTTTTTTAAAGCCCTGTTCCACACCGACAATCTAAAATAAATCTGTGCACACATCCTAGGAATATGCATGTGTGCACAAACCTAAAAACGAAGGCTGCAAATAGCTGGCTGAAAAATTAGTTTCATGATGAAAAGCATCTTTCTGGAAATGCAGCAATATGCAAAGTGTCTTGAAAGGTACGGAATTTACTGCTTCATGTCATTTTTATGTCCAGTCAACAGCTTGCAGAGTAATAAGCTTAGCTGACAAGAAGCCACCTCAAATCCAGACTATCTGGCACATGTGTCTTAGCTAAAAGAACAAAAACGTCTTTAAGAGGAGGAGTTCTTTGACATCAGGAGCAGCACAGAGAAGAGGAACATACCAGCAAGACAGATGAAAGTTAATTTTGAGACTTGACCATTTGTTTTGGGAGTATGAAATGTGCTACATTTCAGTAAATAAAAAGTCATTCATAGTTACCAGTCTGCATGAAACTCAAACATCCTGGTCACAACATTTCATGACCTACCAAAGATGAAAACTTTAATTTTCTTAGCTTTCAAGAGCTGCCAGCAATAACTGCCAACTAAAAAAAAATGTAAATAATAAAAACATTTAATAGATATACTGACGTAACAAAGCCTTTTAGAGTTCTGACTGCATCCCCCAAACCAGAAAAGCCCAAACTTACAATAAGCCATTATGAATCCAACAATAATCGATAGCAGCAGTCACATTTGGTCACTAGCGACTGGAAATTCCTTCCAAAGAAGTTTTCAAATTCTTAGCACTATTCTTAATGTGCACCTCAAGTCTTTGAAACAAAGTACTTCAGTTGATGTTATTAAGTAACAACTGCTGCAATATGTCCATAAGCCCTATTTGAAAACCTGGTTTCAAATAAGTGATACAACGGTATTCATTTTGTATAAAGGCTTTAAGAACATATTTGTGATTCTAATTACTGACATTTTTGTGTTTTCTTTAAAGCTAAAACAGTTTATAATCAAATTCTGGATTTTACAATTTTATTAGACTAGTATGTCATATTCAAAACAAATTTCAGTTTGCTTTTCTTGCTGTTTTTGGGTATGCATGAATGCTGTGTTAAGAACATTTAAATTTCAAAGGGAGAAAAAATTGCACATTTGTTCTAACAACGCAGAAGACATTCTCAAACACTGTTTAAAATATAGAAATGTATTTTCCAGACCCTCAAACGAAACAATTTGAAGCGAAAAATCAAATTACATTGGGGTTTAAGACACACAATACCCTCTCAGGAGCCTTTAACTGTCAACAGTCCATTTTCATTTCAACCTGGATTTTCATCCAAATATCTGAACGTTGTTGAAAGACTTGCATGGCTTTTGCAAGACGACAGTAAGCAAGCAAGCAAACAGGATCCCTATAAACATGCACTGTTAGTCCTAGTTGCAAATTCTAAGGAAAAATAGACTTTGCAAGTCGGAGTACACACCTCTGTTTTTGCAGTCAGAAAACAGAGAATGAGGACTGGGAAAGGCACAGGTAATAATTCAATCTTAGATTAGTTTTAAACCGACAGCAGTCTATCCATAACACAACTCCTTCAAATTATTATCTGCAAGGTGTTAGGTTTGACAAAATGAACAGTTTCCAAACTACAGGATCACAGCCTCCAGTGGCTCAAAACAGTTAGAAAGGAAGCATTTATTTTAACAGATTTCAACTTCACGTGATACTCATTACAGTACGTGGTGTTTTCTACGTGTATTGGCATTTAGGTAGAGTAAAACAAGTTTGGAATACCAAACTTTTAATTCTATGCACAAACTTACACAGATGACTGGTACTAGCTCAGCAATCAAGAATTCACTGAAAAAAAAAAAATAATATTTCAGTCTGTATAATGCCACAAAGAGCAGCTTGGACAAGGAAATAATATGGGAAATCTCTGCAACCTGCACTCTGGTCACCGGGGGAAGGGTGTGGGGGAGGAAGGAGGGAGGGAGCAAAAATGACTTGGCAGAGCTGATGTCACAGTTACTTTACATTTCTGCTATGGGGTTCAAGATACCATTTGTACTGTACAAAAGATCACCAAGCCTTTGTTTCAACTGCATCTAACTGCTTTGAATTACTTCAATAATGTGACATCACTACAACGTTAGTGACATACAGACTAAATACACCTGAATAGTCAAACATGAGAAATTTACGTTGGGACTCATTTTGAAACCATGATTCTACGTAAGATACAGTCCTTTTTTTGTTTGCTGTGTTTTTGGGGGGGTTTCTTGTTTGTGTCTTTTTTTTACCTGAAGTTCTTCCGGTATTGTATTTAATGCCAAATAAAAACATCATCTCCACTGCATCACAGGTACAGCATGGGATGAACAGACATAATGGATTAGCTCTCCCCCCTCCCCCTCCAGTATACTGATATCACTATTTTATGTCTGTATTTAATGAGGACACCTGAAAGGACATTCTGAAAAAAAAAAAAAAATCTGATGGGATCAAGAAAGACATTAAGCAACGCAGCTTTTTACACTTACTGCAGTCTGCCAAGTTTAATTCAAGTGTCCATTTTGCCTTTGAACACCAGTCAATTTACATTCTCTAGTCTGACGTTTTGTTTTTTAAAATATTACTAGAACATTGTCAGAGAATTTTTTTAGTGTCTGAGCTTAAACATCTATTGATTAAATGTATTCTCTTTAAAGCATACTTTAAAGAGTTTCAGAGTCAAGAAATACAGGATTTTAAAGAACTAAAATGAGCAACTGGATATGTTTCTGCAAGTATTAGCAATTTCACAGCATTTCAGAGTCTTCAGAAGTCTGTAACTTGTAATTCCAAACATCTGTAACCTTCTTGGGTCCTTTTTGATACCACAAACAATACTTTAAGCATTTCTTCAACAAGCTATGGGAGAAGTTTCAGTCAATAATGATGCTTCTACGCTGGTCTGCTTGCACCACAGATTAAATGTCTTGCAAATTGGAATGATAAACCCTGTTATTATTCCATTTTTTTGGCAACTGAACTATGTTAATAGTTCAGTTTGTCTGTATAAAGTTTGCCTTAATTACTAATGAACACTACTTCAGAAAACAGTTCTGAAAGATGGTCAAAACTGTAAAAAGCACGTAACTAGCATTAGAAAACAGAAAATTCTGTATTGCAAACAGCTGCTGTAGCTACTGCTTCTCAGATGAGTTCTTGCTACAGACACATAGCACACTCACAGTAGCCTCAGTTTAAATGACTACTACTTCATATTCTGAGTAACTGAAAAGCTGGATAGTAGCATATGAAATCCCTGGTAACTGTAGTAAGAATCATCTTCCTAGAACAGCCAGCACTTTTTACTCATAATCCTCTAAATTTACTGTTAACTAAGATAATCAACCCCCCTTCATTTTTTTTTTTTTTTTCCCCCGCTCATCCCAGTACATAAAAGTTTGTATTCCTCTGAACACAGGAAGGAAATCCTTATGTAATGAACAGGTCAATATTCTCTGTAATTTAGCGAAAATACTGCAAAACTGCAATATTATAACACTAGCTCAGTGGCAGCGTTGCCAATACTGAGAACTAAATATGAAAGAATGGCCATCTTGAGAAACAGGTCTTCAACAGATGTTTACAGATCTCGCCCAAGTGGTTCTGAAGATTTAGCAAAAGGGTGGACAACATAAGACAAGACACTGTAACACACAAAGCAAAAAAGGAATACCAAATATTACTTGGAGGAGTTCCGTTTTTTGTGGGTTTTTTTTTCTTTTTTTTTTTTAAGTTACCAAAAACATAACTTCACAAAAAAAATGAAAGACACCATACCCAGAAGAGAATACAATACCCTTTCTTCTAGGAAAAATGTAGGTAATGCATAGGCTTTGAACAAGAACACCAAAAAGAACATTAGCACAGCAAAAGCTCAGGTTTTCTGGACAAATAGCTGTCAGTCCTCAACATTTATTGTCTGCTATCGTGTTTTGAACCAAAGGCAGCATCCACAAGCATCTTTAATATGGGTCAGAACACAGCATTTGACTAGACTGTTATCTTGCAAACACTAGCCCACTGCACTAAAAGACATTTGATGGAAAAGGAACCTTCTGTCAGATGATAAAATTTCATCTCAATATCAGCACTTTCAAACAGAGTAGAAGAGATTCCACAAGAAAACTCCCCTAAAATGGATACATGGGCCCAGCATTTCTTTCCCAGTCTTGTTAAGGTGGAATGAGTGAAGTTACTGTGATGTTCTTTCTGGCAGCTGCTCTACCTAGTAGTTATCAAAAGCTAAATCTCTGCTCCTTTTCACAGCCAAGATGATCATAAACACCTAGCGACAATGGTGCTATACGGTCAGAACCAACCTGAAGTTCTGAAAGTGTAAAACAGCATTAAGTGAAAATAAACTTTACTGCTGCCCCTGTTATTTTTAGGACACTGCAAGGTACCACCTTTAAAAAAATGTTATTTTACATTGCCTACGGATTTCAACCACATCGAACCAGCTAACAACTCAGAGTATCTTTAGCATCATATGGAGCTAGAAACATTGCATCCCTTGATTTCAGAATATTGACATGTAGCAACTTTTTAACCAGCTCAATAACTGATCCAATTTGTAAGAACTTTAACCAGTAACAACAAAGATCCCGACGAATTTCAGCTGCAACGGTATCCACAACACCAACACTGACCTATCTTCAATAGGTTACCGAAGTTTAAACATAACCACTCACAATTTACTTGGTGTTAAATTTTAGTATTAACAGTGTTTGAGAGCATGTCAGCTGAGAAGGTTCCCAGTGTTACCTCTCTTGGAAGGACAATAGTGAAGATACTAGGAAATACTCTTTTTTTTTTTTTTTTGGTAGAGATATATATGTATTTAATCCATCTATGACTGCTTTAAGAGGGCTGGAATTTAGTTCAACATCTCATCTAGAGTTTTATATACTCTTTACTCAGAGGCTTAGGGTGTTGGGGTTTGTTCTGTGTGTCCCATTCCCCTCTTTGTTTGTGGTGGGTTTATTTTTGGTTTTGTTTGTTTTTTAAACAGGAAATGCATTTACTCAGAACAAAAGTAATTCAAGTGTAATTGCTTCTATCCATACTCAATTTTTCATATTTGAGCTATCTTCCACACAGAGAATTACTTCACGTCCTTCAGTGTTCTCCTACAGGGCCTGTCACAGAGTTTCACACCTACAGCTGTATCTACTTCTTCTACACTAGCTGCCACTCATTGCCATCTTCAAATTTGTCCTTGAGGCCCATGAAATCAAGTCAAAGAACTAAAATACTCTGGCAACGAGGTTTATGTAAATTCCAAGTGTTGGGAAGCGCTGTAACCTTTCCCTCTTTTCACACAGCAGCCCGCTGGGGAGAAAAAAAATTTACATTAATTTAATTACATTCTCAATTATTTCAGTTCCTGCTTAAGGTGCTCATCTTTACTTCTGTATTTCTGACCGCAAGTAATATACCACTTTTCTATCCTTCACATTCCAGTTTTGTAGTATCTGCCAAACCAGCTTCATACCAAACAAATTACTTCATGCTATTAACACAGAACGTTTTAAGAAATGCATGGTGTCATGCATGACCAATGCCCATGACAATTAGGACAAAACCCTACTTCTAAAGGCATATGAAGTTGTAAAATAAAGAAGACTGGCACATGAATGTGACAAGAAATACTGTGCAAGTGTTTTGGATGTTTAATGTTCCACAAAAGAATCACATTTTCAAAGCCCCACCAAACGCCAAGAGCAAAGAAATACAAGGCTAGAAGATAGAATAGGCCACTAAAGATGGATATACAGCTATCCACCCCCTTATCCTCTCTCAACCTGTTCAAGTGATAGCGGGAACACACAGAACGGACACTAAAGGAAGTGTTGTGTCCTTCTACTTACCCCTATAACCTGCAACAACCACAAATACATACAGCTACAAACTCTATTCTTCCCATGAACTGATTGTCTATTGGATCATATCAGAAATCAGTCAAAGATCAGAACTGAGTCTAGTTCAACCAACTGATCCACGAAACTTTTTTGTTCATTAAAATATCATCCACTTGCATCAGATTTTTCATTTTTCAGCTACCGATAGTAGGTTCCACAGCCGTCACCGGTCCCTCCCTTCAAAGCTAAGTGAGAAGAGTCATATCCAAGCATTATGAACATACTTCTCAAACGTAAACACAAACAGCAAATCTGAAACATCTGCCCAATTAGATTCATAAACAAGATGCTTGAAGTCTGTGACTTCGTGTGTCCTAAAGAGATAATCCCACAGTGGTTCTTATTCACAGGGAAAAAAACAAAATTGAAAAAAATGATGTGTCTTTACTTTTAATAGCCATTTCATCTACAAATTTCACTACATGTAGTAAACCTCACAGTATCCTTACACAGATAAAAAAACTACTGCTTACTGTGGTGAACCATATTACAGGCTGCTGTTCATATTCTTTGATTCTTTCTGTACAGAACAATTATAGTAATAGCAACTCAGTCCAGCAGTGAACAGCTACTTATATAAGCAAAATCACTGACCAAGGCACAAATCAAGACAAACACCACTATTTTTCAAATGCACAATGACATGCTTTTAGAGAAGAAAATGGAAAGTAGACAGAATCTTCAGATTTTTGATAGATACAGAAAACTACTTTGGTAAGTTAACTTCAAAAATATTTCAAAAATACTAGGAGGCTTCTACGTGTGTCTAAAGACTTACCTTCATTTTGAAGTAGCAGACTAAAATCAAAGCACGATGCTCATCAGTGATTCAATACAGACAGCTCATGCTCAAAACTTGCCCAACCATCTGAACATTGAACTAAAACGCTTCATCTGTTTAAAAGTGCCATGTTGTTTGAACTAAAGATTTTAAATTAATCTCTGTGAGAACCTGCTAGTGAATACACACTCAAAACATTTTTTTCTTTCAGAGACATTCATGAAGACAATGCACAAAACGCACACCTGTTAAAAGTAGTAAAGCATGAGTTTACCTCTTTAGAATCATCAATTCTCTCAAAATAAACGAAAGCAAATCCTCTTGATCGTCCAGTCCGTTGATCATAAACCACATTGACACCAGTCAAAGGTCCATAACGGGAAAAGACTTCTCGCAAATCTCTCTCAGTAGTATACAAACTGAGACCAAACACTCCAAGACATGTGTTAGGATCTGGATTAGCCTGTTAAGACAAATGTTCAACTCCAATTATGTTTATAAAAAACAGGTTATACATTATCACATAAAAATTTCTCAATTATTAAAAAAACTTAATCTGAAGAAAACTAAACCGTTTATTACAAAGCCTAACACTTCAACAGTTATCATTCCAACTGTAACATTTTTAAAAAGCAACTAGCATTACGATTTTTTTATAAAAAAGACAAACTTCTTATGCTGGTGAAAAACTCTGTTGATAAAAATCAAGCATTCCGATTACAGAAAAATGCTATATAATAACAGGAACCTATTTTATTAGTATTGCACACTTGAATTGCCAACAAGCTGCACACATGATGTATAAGTCTGTGCTAAGACAACATCAGCAAGCCTGAACTCCCACCTTCAGCCTTTCTGCACCGTCACCACTGGTACTAGAGAGTACACCCTGCCTCCAGTCACACACACTAAATGCATTTGAGCTCCTAAGCATGGAGAGTTGAACTATAATTTAGCTTCTACCTAAACTTCCTCCCCTCTCAAAATTTCCTAGCCAACTACGCTGAAAGTCAGTATTTACATTTGAAGGTTTATCTCTTTCTACTTGCAAACCGGATGAAAATCACTTGCTTCCTTCACCTAGATAGTAACCAGTGTTGAAGGCCAGTTCTGTGAAACTGTAATCCAAAAGTATGCGCACATTTTTCAAGCAAGACTCCTGATTCTTTAACACGATGTAGGATACAGATCTACTTACTACATTTCACTTCAACTAAAGAAGTCAAATATGAAGTTGTACAAGGTAACATTTCTCCATTAGGTTAAAAGTCTCTCTACATGCCAGAGAGTTCATCTAATGCCAATTCCACTGTAAGAAAAATTTTGATCTAAATTACCATTTTTTCAGTTAAGCTTCTGGCACCTGTTATACCAGATGCAGCAATTTAAAACAGCAGCAACACGTAAAGGGATTTAATGTTTCTGCTAAAATAGTAACTGAAAGTTGACACAGTTGAAATTTGTATTTCAGTTTCAGATTTTCAAAGCCACTGATGCACAGCAGTTGATGCCTTTGAGCTTGCCTTGCAGCCCGATTCAAATAAGCAACAGGTTTAGATTTTCTGTTGCATTCTTTTCAGAGCTTTTGTTCATTAATCCACTGTGAAAGAGATGTCCAAACTACTAATATATTTAAAGTTTCTTTCTTTCCATTTGTCGAAGTTCAAACATTTCTTTTAAGACACAAATATTCTACAATTCCTTATTAGAGCTGAAGAGCACAACAAGAAGTGGCAGTTTGTCGGCTGAAAATTTTAATTATACAGGTTTAGGTTTCTTTCTTACTCCATACTTCAATCTATCCAATAATTCAGTGGCATTAACAGCTATACCCCTTCTATTATTGAAACTCTTGTGAGTTTAATGAAGTCCATCTTTTAAATCACTGTTTGGACAAGCCCCCTGACACAGGACATATCAGTATCATCCTTTTTTCACATCCCCCTCACACTTAAACCCTACCACCTTTTGCGAGGCAAGAGAAGTACCGAGAATCAGTCTGTGCACCCAAAGCAACAAGTGACAGTTACATCACCACTGGAAGGACTAAACTGACTGTGGAGGACTAAAACACAGCTTTTATGTTAGGTTTTTCTACTGCCTCCCATCAAGACAGTATGCAAGCTCTCTCTAAAAGATCTGAAGTGGCAAAATTGCTACCAGTTTTCCTGGTATCTTTAGGAACCTCACTATTTAGGTGATTTCTGGTTGAGTTTTGTTTTGACACTACTAGAACTACTCCTTAGAATGAATGTGAAATTCACTGTGAAAACAAGTTTCATTTTTCACAGAGTCATTTCCAAGGCAGAAAGACCTCTTCACAGAGCAAAAAATTCTATTATTTCCTAAAGCAGTAAGGTGGATTCATTCATCTTTTACCAGGAAATCTGCTAACCCTTCTGAAGTCCAGTTATTCCTGCCAATTTTTCAAGACTTTTTTTTCAAATTTCATATTTACTACATCATGATTACACACTGGCAACAATCCACAAAAAGTGTAACTATGAACGTTGCTTCACAACAGCTTAAGCCACTGTACGTTAGCACTGCTCTAATCTTGCCCTTTTCCACACACTCTTGCCTTCTCCCTCACATTGGTATTATCTGGTCCTGGTGAGCTGCTTCACCAAGGTAAGCCTGCAAAAAAGTACACTCTTATTGACAGGATTAGTAAAAAATTTTGGAGAAACTAAAACAGCTTAAAACTAAAAGGATCAGAAAAGTACCACAGCCCTCACTGAGGAAGGGCAGATCTGTGTATAACAGCACTCATTTAAATCAGCCTGAAGTGATGTGGCTAAGGCATTGAATAGCATTGTCTATAAAGACAGCCATTGTGAGACGTAAGATTAGTATCTTAGATCTTGGCTGGTGTACCTATACTTCCTCCTGTCCATACAGAGATAATTCTCATTTACATTTTGAGAGGCTTACTGCTCCTTTTCATAACTGTAAATTTTTCTTGCCTATTAAGATTTAAACATTAGCTAATAACACATGGTTTATTGCTTCGATTTAAACCAAATCAATTACTCAGAGGTATGAAATCACAAGCAACCTTCAAGACAATATGCTGTATGTTACAAGCAAGTAAGTACTTGAGAATTTTCTTCTTTGTCTCCTCTAGTCAATCTTATCTATACTATCAGGTTGCAAGCACGCACAGAAAAGGTCTCATTTTTGTGAAGGGTACGCATACTTGGAACTGTAACAAAAAGAGGATCAGAAGGGTTCAACTTCTAGAGCTGATGGAAACAGACGTCACCCCATCTGCACATACTGACTTGCAAGGGTATGATTTTCAATGAATTTCTACAATTTCCCTGTCCGTTCCAGGCCCAGGAAGTAAATGCCCAGCTGTAAGGACAGAGATTGACTGCCCCTCTCCGAAATTCCCATATACTCCAGTGACAAGATAGCAGGTCAAATTCAGCCTGCAGGTATCCTGGATTACACTGATGTAAGCAGCAATTGTTTTGTTGATACTCAGCCTTAATGAATATGACATACTCTGCTACCAGTGTGCCTCCTCCTGTTGGACATTGGAGAATGACTACGGCTCCTTCGACGACGGTATTCTGGCGTGTAAGATCTGCTTCGAGAACGTCTCCTATGAGAATGAGAATGGGAATGGGATCTGGAACGAGTGTAACGTCTGTGCGAATGTCTTCTGGACCTGGATCTTTAACAAAGAGAAAGCTTTTAGTCAGGTCATATGCACATAATGTATTGAATTGTAAGCCTTACATTTCCCAGAGAAAAATACCTTTTTTTTTTTTTTTAAGAGGCTCTCTACAATTAAAATAGTGAAGTTTCCTCTACTTTGCACATCTAAGATTGCATGGATCTTTAATAACCTGCTCAGCAGCACAATTCTTAACTTTGTGAGAGTGCTTCTGGTATACAACGAGGATTATATTCACAACAGTTTTCGCAAAGTTCAAAGCTTAAACTTACATCAGCATGGCTGCACACATAACTAACACTTGTACAATGATACAGCAACCAGATATGACACACTGTAAAATACTGTCTTGGCTGAAAAATTGAAAGACCTAGCAGCACTACGGTGCTGCAAAATCTAGAGGTGAAGTTCACATAGGCTTGAAAATTATTCAAGACAAAAAAATCCCCCAAACCTGCTTAATGCCTCAAGCATTTCTTTGCAGACATCTAGCCAATGACAAGCTCAGTTTTAAAGCACTCATCATTCCATCAAAATTGCATGATTTCATATGGGTGTTATATCCTAACAAAAGGTAGTTATCTGGCTAAACACTGCAGGAAGAGAAGCTATAACATTAGGCTGAACTTTGGGAATTTAGAGCACAGTAACTCTTTTTTGGCTGCCCTGGTATAAAGTGTATAAATCAGGAAGATGGACTACTGATCTCTCCCAAGAACTGGGGAGAAGGAACAACGTATTATTATGCAATTCCTCTTCCCTCTCCAGAGCTGCAAATGCTGTTTTCTGGTTTCTCTCTCCACTGATGAAAGAAGGATTCAGTAGCTCTCTCCATTTTCACCAGTATGATTGTACAAGGGAAGAGAGAAGATAGGTAGTATAAGCCAGGTAATATTTATGATGTATTTGGGGGAGGAGGGGAAAGACAGACATTCCTCCTGTGTTCCAAGTAAGCTCTCTCAGAACCAAGAACTGCAAAACCTTGGCCCTGCACACACACACTTGTGTGAGAGAGAAGGACAAAAAAATGAATTTAAATCTTAAAGCTCCCATAAATCAAGAAGCTATTTACACTCAGTTTAGTTTGTAGTTTTCAAATTTTGTTTTTGAAGCCCAGATTTTATTTTTAAAGCCTCTAGTGAAGGAATATCAAGAACATCCCCAAGTCGCGTCTTCCAACATTTCCAACAGTTACAGACCTTACTCCTTTTACCTAACCCAGACTACCTTTGCTACAGTTCTCACTTCACTTTTTTTCCTAAAGGAGAGGTCCACATGAGTTTACCCTTAAAAGATTTTGGGGGAAGGAGGCTGGAGCTTTGACAGAATTGAGATGCAATCCCTTCCCTCTCTTCTGGAAGGGATAAATCTACAAATTTTAGTTGCGATTTCTACATTACTACTTCTATTTGTATTACTTGCTTCATTCATACCCATGCTTTTGATAGAGGGGATTGTAAGAAATGTGAAACTATAACAAAAAAGACTTAATATTTTCTAGTTTTTAGTAGTCTTTAGTACTGTAACTTGTATTTCTGCATGCATAGTGATCTAACGATATAACTGTTACACTAATCCCTGTTTTCTCATTAAGGAATGTAGTGGAAGGACATGGACACAAGCTATCACTTAGTCGTTAGACAAAATAATTAAGTGAAACAAAAGTGGTCTTGGTTCTCAGCAAATAATTGGGATAACTGTGGGATAAAAGAGACTCCTCAATAATTCTACTCCAGACAGCTCGGCCTTGGGAGGGCAAATGCGCCAAGCTACAGAGATAAGGAGGCACCAAGAGAGCAACAAGACCGGAGCAAAACACCCTGAAGGACATGATGGACATGATCCTGGAACTGAGTTTGTGCAGAAACAAATGTCAATCAGTGAACAGCGTGATGAAGAAGATGGGCCTTCATCTTGGGACCCCCGAAGACCACCCAAAGATGCTAACAGACATGCGTGAAAGATATTTACATATGCTAATTAGTTCCTAGAAATATAATGAATATTTACATGTGTGATTGTATTTAACCTGAAGCAACAGGGTGTCTGGTGCGCACGTTTGGAGGAGAAATCCCCCGTGTGCCCGGCGCCGCAATAAAGCATACCTGCTTAACAGTATACATTGTACTGTTAGGTTTTTCCTACCGGATCTTCGAATCACTTTATTACTCATGGAATCTTTCCCCAACTTTGTCCACCAAGCACTAACATGCAAACCAACATAATCCCATTAACACACTCCAGAAGATTTGTAAGTTTTACAACAAGGGGAAAAGAAATCTCATCAGTGTACCAAAAGAACAGGCATAAGCAGTAACACTGAATTAACATGAGTAACTCCATGAACATACCTTGATTTTGATCTTGACCTAGAGTGCGATTCAGAATGCTTGGAAGCCCTCGATGGACTGCGAGATCCTGACCTGCTCTCCGATTTTACACGAGCAGGACTCCCAGCTGGAGATTTTGACTGGGAGCGAGACTCCTAACAAAAAAGACAGTATTAAAAATGGTATTGGTTGTATAAATGCCTAACTCCTAACATTTAAAGTACAATAATTCTATTATATTGATTTCTCCTGAAAAACAAATGGTTAGGCAATACCCTCCAAAACAAATTTCATTTTGCTAACCCACTGTTAATATTGTATGCTTTCCTCAAATAGGTCCCTGCTTGAACCAGATCACCAATTCTCTATTAACTAAGTAATCATGCAAATTCATCTACAACTTGATCATACAGACACTGGAACATAAACCATACATTTACTTAACCTAGGACCCATTCATTCTTCCAGATTCTTTTAATTCTACTTCTCTCTTGCTTTCTACTTTTCTTCATTCTTCATTGAGTTTTTCATTTTTCATACTTCGTGTATTCTTCCCCAATTCAAACAATTCATTATAGCCTTAAAAAAAATATTCAAGTGCTTCTATCTGACCAATCTTCTGTTCAATTTTTTCCCCCATTCAATTTTAATTTTCTGATCTTTAATACTTTTCATTAGCCTTCTTTTATCTTGATTTATCTTCCACATTCTTGGAAAAAACTCTTCAATTTCTTCACGAACATTAACCTTAATGGAAAAAGAACATTTAGTATATTTAAGCACGTGGGGATTATAAAACTCTGCTGGAGTTCAGATGTTTTCTTCCAAATTGAAAAGCCAGCAGGTAAAGTGCAAGAAACTATTTTATAAAACAACTTTAAAAAAAAAATCTTTAAAACTGTATAAGTGTCTACGTTCTAACAATGAGCTTACTGAGTTCTCAGTGTTTTACTGTATTTTCAAAGCTACCCTCCTCCCCTTTCCGATTTTTTGTAAGGTACATAGATACACTAAAAACTAATTACCACAAATATATTAAATAAATTTATATCAGTAGCTGATTTCCCCCTAAAATAACAGCTATGTACTTCTCAGTATCCAATATCCCAAATTCTACTCCTACACATTATTACTAAGACAGTTCAACAGAATGACCAAAGGTTTCCAGTCAAAACCTATCTATGCACATACTTACTCGCACAATACATGCACATAGATATACGCAACATAAGTTATTTTACTTCCCACTTTTCTTCCTCATTGTTATCCTGTTTTCCTTGCATACATTTTAATCCATATAAAACAACATGTATAATAGTACAGTCCAAAGCAATCCAATAAAAGTAAAGACAAGAAGGTTTTTTTCTTGCACGGTAATGCACAGAAGACAAAAACTAGGAAAACAAGCAAACAAAGAGCAGGTTATGATTTCCTCACATTTCATAGTGTACAGCATTTCTAGGGGGCTCAGCTATGAAAAAAACCCCTACAGAACAGTATGCTATATACTTCTGTAACTTCACAAAAGATGTGCAAAATATTTGTTGAAAAAATGCATAGCAAGTTCCCCTCCCACAAGTGTTACATTTCATGTTTATTTGCATCATTTGTCCTCTTGCCTGTCCTCACCATGTTTTCCTCAATTTATTTCTTATTCTGCCTCTGTCCAGATTTTCGTTTTCTTTTGCAGTTAAATTCCTCAGTAATTTAGGCTGAAGTTCTTTTCAAAGGATGCTGTCCTCACATTTTGAGACAATAAATCCAACCAGAAATGGAACCCAAGAGATTCCTTACTAACAAGTACTACAGCTACACTACCTTTCCCCTTTACCTCAAAAAAAAGGACAAGTGACACATGAGGAACGTCACCTACTGAGATGATTGACCTGCCCAACTTACCAACGAAGGCCAAATTCAAAGCTTAGCTGTGACACATGGACCATATAACCACGTCTGCATGACGGGTTACCTTTACTAATCTGGCTATCTGCTGATCTAGCTACAGGAATTTCACTGAAATACAAGGATGTATGTGCACTTAAATATTACCAAATATTATTTCATATATTTATTTTTACATTTGAAATCCACTGTTCACTATAAAAAAATATATTTCCTTTTAGAACCACTAACATGCTTTTTAATCACCTTGCCTCTACTTTTGTACTCTTCATTGTTCGATAGCCTCCTTAATTCTTCAATTTATACTTCATCCCCTGCAACAATTACCAATTTCTCTGAGAATTATTTCCACTTCCCTCCCTAGTAAAAGTGAGCAGCAATATCGAAAAACATTTAATGTGACATCATTCACATTTAGAAAACATCCTTCAATAAAAAGACAATTCACCCTCCTCAGTCACTCTTTCATGAGAATACTGTGTTGTCCATATTTTTTACATCTCAAAGATCAATTCTTCAACATAGAAACTTCAGAAATTTGAACAAAACAACAAAAAACACACCAAAAGAACAGATACTGCACAATCTAGAAGTGTTGGGAGGTGCCAAAAATACCAAGGACCAAATCACTTCAATACAATGTAAAAGTTACTTAGTGTCCTTATTTATTCAACTGAAGCATCTTATGACACCACCCACAGTTTCTAATAGTATCAGTTATGACAATGAATCTACATTAAGTTCCCAAAAGAAAATGTTACATCATTTCATGTAGGTCAAGTCCTTTTGAAACTATCTGCTTAAGCCCTTCAGGGTCTTAAACTTTACAACTTTAAAACTGGAGTGACAGAGGTGACAGCATAAGTTCTTACACATTTCAAACTTCCTCAGAGTAACTGTAGATGTAAACTGCAGCTAAAGAGAGATTACCTGTTAGCAGTTGCATACTGTGTCTGTCATTGGCAGGCAATTACATCTCATCTTCTGATGAAACATAGATCACCTAGTTATACCTCCTACAGTGCTTCAAAAGGAGAGACTAAGGGAATCACAATAATCTGCAAGAGTTTAAAGACTTAAGGATGACACTGAAAAAGTACCTAAAAAGATTTGTATCAGCAAGACTATAGGCAGGGATTAAGAGATTCAGAGCTTCAAGGAGTCACAAAGGGAGATTTTAAAGAATTTTCCTCCTCTACTTCCTACTATAAGAAAATAATCAGCAAGCTATATCTTAGTCTAGATAACACAGACCTAATTGTTCTACATGAACAATTTATATCCATTCTGCAATATGAACAAGAAGATTCAATAGTTAACATTCTTTCTTAATACATCATCTTTAATGAGGGAAAATAGACACACCTACTATCCAAAACATTAAAATCTGTCAGTTCTGTACTTGTCTTTAAGCGATCTAGACATTCTGATCTTAGCTCCGCCATTATCACAGAAATTAATTTCACTACTGCTTAATAGAGAAAAGACTAAGATTTCTCTCTGGATCCTCAAAATTTTCTTTTCTTTCTGTTCTAAAGATACTCAGTCATTTAAGGGCCACGGATAAGACTGTCTGTCTTAAACTCAGCTTCTCACCCCACAACTATCTTACAAAACAGTATGTATTTTAATGCCTTCAGCTTTATTACACAACTGTCCAGTCACTACTTTCATCCTTACAAACTTCTAGGCAGATAGTCACTGTGACCACGTCAAACTATCTAGATTTGCTGTCACTACAGCTTGTAGAAAGAGACGGCCAGCTAACTGCCTAATAATCTTCAGATCAGAATTCCCTTTCGAAATAAATGCTACATCAGTCAATAACACTTCCCCCACAGAAAACCTAAGAAAAAAAAAAAAAACCACACCCAACCAAAAACCACACACACACACAAAAAAAAACAACTTATATCTCAATTGTAACAGCATGCTTCCTCAGAATAAGATGTGGCAGCTTCCTCAAGTACATACCAGGAAATGGCATTAATGATTCATCAAGAAGTGGAACTTGGAACCAAAGAAATTATTGTAGGTAAACACAAAGTCTAGACTGCAGCTTCAGTTACTGATTCTCTGGATAAGAAGCTGCAGAGCTAGCAGCATTTAAAGAGAGCACTAAAGAGTATTCTTCATCCTTTCCACCTTCTCTCTTCCCAGAAAGAGCAATATGAAACAAAGTAGTATGGAAAAAATATCTGCCTGCCCTCCACGCCACCC